GATTACTAGGTGTTTTAGAGCAAGGAAGTCTGCCGAAATAAGGCCTCCAAGCCTGAAAATGGACTTACTTCCACAGGTTCCTCACATGACTGGACAACATGTTAGATCGATTGTTACCAACTTCACATCCAAAAACAACACAGAGCAGATCCTGGGAAGCGTTACAGATGGTACTGTGGGGATTAGCTGCAGCCAAGGTTCTGGACCCATAAATATGAATGCTGCCAAAAATAGACAGCGTCTCGGTAGGTAACCATGGGAAGATGAAAGGACAGCTGAAGAGTCCAGCAGGACATTCACCTCAGCTAGACGGTCACTAATAAAACTGGCTTAATGTTATTTATTCTTCTAGCTGTAAAACTCTTTAAATGTTGACATGTAAATATTATTGTAACAAATTACATCACAATATGCTTTTCTCATAATATCACGTATCATCAGCATGTGCAGAATACTGAACAGCTGCATATATTGTACAAAAAAGATTATTTTGTTAGAATTGTCCAAAATTGTTTTTCATACCTCTTTTTAAATGGCAGTGACACTGCTGTTAGCATATCATGATAAATATCATATCACAAAACATCTTCAAGTATTGTGATCTTTTCTTTTATTGCCACATCACCCACCCTTACAAGGGAGAGATACTTAACTTTAACTCTGAAATTAAACAGCTGTGAGAGGAACAGAGAGCGTGTGATTGTAGGCTGAAAAGAAAAAGAACAAGCAAATGTCCGAGATGAACAGATGGCATGCAGTTATTGCGTGAGATCGACTTCTTTTTCTCAGATTCTGATTCCTCACTCCCCAAGTCTTTTGGCTTTAAAAAGTAAACAGATGGAATTCTGGGAAGATTGAGCTTCATTCTGGGGGCAGCACATTACAAACAGCTGACTCTCCTTCTACATTCACCCTGCAGAACATTTTCAACTTTTCCACTAAACGCTCTGCATTAGTTGAGAGGAGCATTAAATATTAAAGCAGCGCCTGCTTTCTAAGAGCCCTCGTACTAATGTAGAACGGAAAACAACATGAGCTCCTTTATACAAGTCCGCCTGCTTGAACTAAAGGGCTGAGGTGGAGGACTTGCAGTGAAACCGTGTGGGACATTTGAGGAATATGTTTTGTTTGTATACTTTGTTGTAACCTTTAAATCTAATGTGCAGTGCGGTCTGCTCTACTGCTGAAGTTCACATTTCTTCAGCTTCAAATTCTGTCATAATATTCAGGCCAATGGGTCTTATGGGTCACCAGTAGTGCTGAGCAATATGACCTCAAATCAATATCATGATTAATTGAATATTTTGCCTCAATTACAATTACTGAATGATTATTTTATTTAGTTTTTTTGCCCTCATAGTTCACTGACGAGGTTTGTACTGTAAATATGCTCTGCATATCTTAACGTAAATCCTCTCAACAGCCAGATCGGAATTCATGTGGCTTTTACTTTAATCCATCTCGACATTCGTCATAATTTCACACTGCTGAGACCTTATAAACATTTGGGGTGATATTTCTGTACAAAAATGAAGAGACTTATCCAAAAACCCTCCGTGTTTGAAGAGATTTTGAAAGAAATGGCCGAACATGGCTGCAGGAGAGCGAGGCTGCTGCGTCAAAGAACAGTTAAAAGTCTGAAAGCACAGTTTGAAGAATCAGAGGACACAAACCAAAGAAGTGACCGCGCCCTTTTTGCGGCGAACTCGAACACATTATGAATGACAAGCCCAGCTGTCAGTCAGTAAAGCTTCACGATCTCTCCTGTGATGCTGGTGAAGATAAAACTGAACCCTCCAGGAGCGACTGGTGTTCGTTGGCAGTCATGATTGTTTACCTCTGGATGAGCCATGTGAAGCAATGTGACGCGCTGCTCTTTTGCGCATGTGGGTCAGTTTAGGAGCTGATCTGTTCAGGCTGATGTCGCATACAGATCACATTTAAAAGATAATGTGAAAAATAACAGCCAAACTAAAAAAAAAATCGGATTTGATGAGAAAATCAGATTTGGGCCACTTTTACCTGCTGTGTGAACGTAGCCCTAGCTTCCATGTCGCAGAGCGGATGTGGCGGAGTCATGTTGACTACAGGTGCGGTAGAACGTTTTTAAAGGGACAGTACATGAAGACACAGAGTGGCGAAAGGATTAGCAGAATTAAAAAAAAAAATCGAAATAACTGACATGGGCAAGGTTACATCAGTCAGAGGTTCTGAATGTTAGTTTAGATTACTTTTCGATTAATTGCCCAGCCCTAGTCACCAGGTAGTACTAAGCCTATCAGGCAATTATTTGAGAATGGAAGTATCTGTAACTATCTGTAATGATTACTACCATCATCATATCTTCTTTGATATCATGTCTCATTAAAATTATTATTTCAGACTCTGCAAGGTGACCTGCAGCAGCGCGCACACACACACCATAATTTAGCACGCTTTTTCCTTCTTACTCAGTAATGCTACTTCTTTCAATTAAAAAAAAGGTTCACATAGCGCAGCTTCAATAACACCTTTAGAGGGCAGTGGTGAGCAATGCTTGTTTATATGATGTTTGTTAACCCCGTAACAATCCAGGCTTATTACATACGAATGGTTTACTATTCAGTAGCTACAGGGACTTCACAGCAAACTAACGGGGCAATTCTTAGGTGACAGAAGCGTGCAATCGTACTTTGGGCCTGCCGGCAGGCTCACAGCTTTTTAAGGGGTTAATATCATCTTCAGAGGGCAGCAGTGAGTAACGTTTATTTGAGCTCAAACTGTGTCAGTCATCAGTTAGGAGCTACTGAATATCGACAACAAGAAGCAAGATAGCAAATCATCAAATATGGTCAATTCAGGCTTGTACTTTAATACAGGCCTGTATTATACAGAGGGACTGGATATTGGTTTCAATACTGATACCAATAACGACATCTTGCGTTCGATGCAGATATCGATGATCCTTTTTGATACCTTCTTCTTCAAATTACACCAGAAATTAGTGTGGGGCGTCACATATTTACCAGCCACAACAGACTGCAGATGAACCAAGACACACTGACATTAATAATATGTGTACACAATGTCCTTTGGGCAGCCAATCGGCTAAGCAGATTTCAGAAAAAGCACCCTTTTCTCACAGATGCTGATAAGTTTGAATACTCTGGTATCAAATAACTCTGTAATTGAAGTTAATTTTTAAGGAATTTTAAAACTCTTTAAAATACCCAAGGAAATACCTCTGCTCTACTTTAGATTAGAGTATTTAGTCGACTGATGTGGTGCAGGCCTTTGAGATCTAAAGTGAATACTTCTGGGCTACTGGATACAAACTTTTTATATATTAGGTTCTGAAGCGCATGTTTGGGTCTGAGAGCAAAAATCTCAAAGGAGCTCAAACCAAACTAATGTCATAACATGGTACATCAGCAAGTGTTTGAAACATGTACCAACAGCAAAAGCGATGCCTCTGCCAACTAAACAAACTAATGAAAACCCTACTTTGAATGCCATTTATCTATAGAAGCTGGACACTGTGGCTTGCAAAAACATTAGTAAAAGCATTAGGAGTGGTGTTTCTAAATAGTCTGACAAAACGATCAGCAGGGAAAGGACACGCCCACAGGCAAATACTGAGTCAATCAATTTCAATATGAACCTCAGGATTATATAACAGCAGATAAGGCAGCACAAATCACTGCTTTAACCCACACATAACTACAGGCTGGTATGGTAAACACTGAGCATATTTCAGTCTGAAAGTGATGCCTATAGAGAAATTAACTGGCTACTTGTTTTGGACAAAATATCAAGCAAATGCTCTGTTCTGTGAATAATATGACACACAACCCATCAGTACCAGCTGGCAAAGCCAATTTATGCCAAATGAAGCTAAAGCTTTTTGATTGGACTTTGAAAAACCCAGAAGAAGAATCCCATACAGAGTAGCACAAACCATGTACCTTGTTACTTCACTGAAACAGCAAATCAAGCACACTTTTAGAAAGTGGTGTTTCAAGGGTTCTTTAGTAAGGAAATGGTTTCTTTATAGAACCATGAACATTCGAAGAACCCTCTGCATGATTAAAGCGTTCACTGTATCATGAATATCATGAACCAATTTCTTACTAAAGAACCACTGAATCACTGTCTTTTTTTAAGAGTGTAGAAGTAAAAATAGCTACCAAAAAACAACTTGAACTAAATTACACCAGCGCTGAATTTCCTGTAGTACTGTAGTGGGACTGCTAGTGCACCCAACAGCTATCAGCACAGGGCCTAGCATTTCCTACGGGCTTTTTTTGGGGGGAGGCAGGGAGGCGTGGGGGTCCTATAGGTTTAAAACTAAATGTTTTGAAGCTCCAAGGTCCAAGGTGAGAGTGGAAGCAACAGAAATGCAGTTCAAGTGCTGAAGCAACATTATTGAATTCAACTGAACACTAAAAACAGAAAGTCTGAAAAGTATGCATGTTTTTTCATGAATCTGAATAAACAGCATCATTTGGAAACACTCATAACAGTATAAACCAATCAGATCTTTACATATGGACAGACTTGCTAAACAAACTGAGCAGTACCCAAACGCAAACTGAACATCTTTACCTGCTAAATTAAGTGCACAATGAAAACTGTATTCAACACAGATGATGAATCATCAGTATGTATGTTAGCTAACATAGCCAACATGCATTAACACCTCAGATCACTGTTTTTGTTGCTGTTTCTTGCAAGACTAGCACACGCTTCGTCCACATGCATTTTGTCAAATAACAGGAGAGAAGAAGTACAGATAAAGTTGGTTTCCTGTTCGCGAGGCTCTTGTTCGAATTGTCCCGTTCCACCTTAAATGGTGCAACAGAATGTAACTGCTGCACCGTTTAAGGTGGAACGGGGAAATTCGGACACGAAGCAGGCGAATAAGATGCTGACTTCAGCTTGGTGGGCAAAGTAGCAGCCCGTGCTAGTAGTAAGCTGACATTCTGGCTTACAGCTTGAGAAAGGAGGCTAATTATACATACCAGGTCAAATAAAACACGCTGGTTGGTGTGTGAGCTTCAGTGAAGTATCCGAGGTTCATGCAGCGCTGCTTCGACACTCCAGACCACCCGAAGTTAAATCCAAAGTCCGGTCAGCCAGCAGCGCTTGGCTATGCAAATAGCATCAGCCCGGTCAGAGGACCGCCGGAGCTTCCTAACATCTCTGACTTCTCCAACATGCCGCTCTGCGGTGCTGCTGATACCCAGTGGTCCTGAATCAAAACCCTCAGACCGGTGAAACGACACTGGAGGTCCCAGAGCTGCGGGAATCCAGCCGTGTCGAGCCCGCAGAAGCGCTCATGTCTCCGCCGCTGCGGTAAAACCAACCTGCAGCTCCAGCGCCGCGCGCTCTGTCAGAGGTCACAGCGAGCTGTGAGGAAAGCACGAGCTCAACACAGCGAGCAGCACGAACACGCCTTCAAAATAAAAGCTTCTGAACCGCCTCAGTGTTGCATTAAAAAAAACACACGTGGACACTTTCCCACAGGCAGATTAAGCTAAACCTAGACTAAAAGGGATTTTTGTGGTAAATCACTATTGGCACCTATTCCTAATCCATTCCCTGGACACCAGCCATACAACTAAAAGAGACTGTTTGTTCTCAATTTATATTTTTATTTATTGGTAGTTTCTTTGAATATATCTCTCTCTCTCTCTCGCTCTCTCTCTCTCTCTTTCTCTCTCTCTCTCTCTCTGCATGTATATATATATTATATATGTGTGTGTGTGTATGTATATATATATATATATATATATATATATATATATATATACATATATATATATACATGTATAAAAACACTATATATGGATGTATGTATGTACATGCAGTTATTTATACATATATAGATAAATACATGTAAAAAATAACTATGTATGTGTACACACACACACACACATATATATATATATATGTGTGTGTGTGTATAATATTGAATAGATAGATAGATAGATAGATAGATATACGTATGAACATGTGAATACATATGTGGATATGTACATACACACAAACACATAAATATGTATGTATGCGTGTGTGTGGGGGTTTGTACAGAGAGAGAGTGGGTGATGGGTGAGACAGACCCAAGTCAGAGACCGAGCTGAACTGTACTTTAGAGGCGTGGTATCACCTACCTGCTCCCCGGTGGTGTTTTCTATGTGCCTTTTCTGTTGGTGTAAATACAGAGCACGTCCCATAACAAACAGGACGGCCTCTCCCACATCTCTTTCTACACTGACACCACAATACGTGTATAGCTCATGACGCAAGACACTAATGTGGCTGTGATCCGCTGTGAGAAGTGCTCCTTATTAAAACCACAGCAAGAGAAACACACATGCACAACACTGAACTCATGAGGGGAGGTCACATCTAGCTACACACACACACACACACACACACATATGTGTGTGTGTGTGTGTGTGTGTGTGTGTGTTAATCAAACAAATCAAACAACATGTATTGACTTAACAAATATAAAAAAAATAAAAAATAAGAAGAGAGAAATTACGGATAAGGCCGAATTTCTATTCTGTCAGTACACGTGTAAAATGAATCAGTGTTTGAAATAGGTGTCATGGTCTGCAGCAAACGACAGCACATATACGCTTTCAAAATAAGAGCATCTCGTCTTCCTCAGTGTGCGCATGAAAACCTTTATTTAAGGGCCCATATCCCATATCCCACACTGTTTTTGCAATTTAGTTTTTCCCCCTAATGTCCACTTATAGCGTCTTGTGGGATTAAGCACCAAAAACAGACATAATTCCTTTTTACCAACCTCTGATTGTCCCCTAGAATTAAACAGACTTTGCTTGTTACTGTGCCTTTAAGACTATTATATGTAAATGAGCTCTGTTCCGATTGGCTGTTCAGTATCAGTATCTGTATTTCAGCCAAGAAGTAATCACAGCTGAAAAGCTCCTTGCATGAGTTGGGCGGAGTTAAATTGCTGTAGGCCGAAGAGGCCGACGGATGTAAATGTGTTGGTTTTCATGACACAACAGAAACAATGAATGCACGACAGGCTGGTTTTGCAGCTCAATTTACTTCTATGGACAGTATAGACTGGGGAGTTTAGGGTATATTTTGATACTTTAGCAAAGTTTATATACTGTATCAAAGTCTTATTTTAAAAAAGTGAGGGAAATTCTGTTTTCACAGGGCCGTAAAAATGAGCATCTGTATGCTGAAAGCCTTTTTTTGTTTACAGTTTTAAAAAGATGTGTTCTGACTGCGCTTGTTTAACAGAATAGAATCTAACATAAAATATGTTTTGATTCAAATAACCTAACAGGGCTGTCCAGCCTTTATACAAAGTTCATTTTCAGCCTCCCTCCCTCTGACGTCCATATGTTACCTGCCTTTTTGATAAGGTGGTTAGGCGTGGTAGATCCGAGTTAGAACTAAACTCTGCAGGGTGTGTTGGTCTCCAGGAGCAGAGATAGGCAGCACTGCTACAATATATGTGAAACACAATAAATAGCTTGAAAGCATAAATATAATGAGCGTTATGGCTCTGTTTCTGGAATAGTTTATATTCAGTTGACTCAGACAGATGACGCAAGGAAATTAGCTTCTCTCTAGTTCAAATACAGTACCTCTCCTTCTAAAATACACTCCATATCTTGAATCACTTGGTCACTCAAAAGCAGACATTCTTTCAAATTTTAGATTCTACTTTCTTTAGATATTGTGTATGTTTATGTATGTGCACAATTTGTGTATATAAATTACAACATAAATGACAAGATCAAACTGCAGTCTACACCGATCAGGCATAACATTATGACCACCTCCTTGTTTCTACACTCATTGTCCATTTTATCAGCTCCACTTACTATATAGGTGCACTGTGTAGTTCTACAATTACAGACTGTAGTCCATCTGTTTCTCTGCATACTTTGTTAGCCCCCCTTTTACCCTGTTCTTCAGTGGTCAGGACCCCCATGGACCCTCACAGAGCAGGTACTATTTGGGTGGTGGATCATTCTCAGCACTGCAGTAACACTGGTGGTGTGTGTTCTGCTGGTACGAGTGGATCAGACACAGCAGTGCAGCTGGAGTTTTTGAACACTGTGTCCACTCATTGTCCACTCTATTAGACACTCCTACCTTGTCAGTCCACCTTGTAGATGTAAAGTCAGAGACAATAGCTCATCTGCTGCTGCACAGTTTGTGTTGGTCATCCTCTAGTCCTTCATAAGTGGTTACAGGACGCTGCCCACAGGACACTGTTGGCTGGACATTTTTGGTTGGTGGACTATTCTTAGTCCAGCAGCAATACTGAGGTGTTTAAAAACTCCAGCAGCACTGCTGTGTCTGATCCACTCGTACCAGCACAACACACTAGCACACCACCACCACGTCAGTGTTACTGCAGTGGTGAGAATGATCCACCACCCAAATAATACCTGCTCTGTGAGGGTCCAAGGGGGTCCTGACCACTGAAAAACAGGGGGCTAACAAAGTATGCAAAGAAACAAATGGACTACAGTCTGTAATTGTAGAACTACAAAGTGCTCCTATTATAGTAAGTGGAGCTGCTAAAATGGACAATGAGCGTAGAAACAAGGAGGTGGTCATAATGTTGTGCCTGATCAGTTTATAGTAAATAATATGAGGCAGAGGGTGAGCAATAGTAATGAGTAAAAGTAAAGGAATGAAAGACCTGTCTAAGGACCACTGGGGTAAAATGCTCCTGGGTTCAGGGACCATGACGTGGCCCCCAAAGGTGGGAATCTAATCAGAGGTCAAATAGTTCGGTGAAAAATCATATTTACCCAATTTTCCACACCGATGTAATCAGCCAAGACATGTGTGGAGTCCAAATTTTGATCCTGCAGTTTGGAATTGGGAGCACGAGACCATCATTGCCAACAAACACTAAAACTTGCCAATGTAGTAGACCCAGTGTGACTTACTTTGGACAATATAAATGAATAAAACTGCAGGCAGACACTTTAGACAGCACTAGGATTGGTATTCATGAATCAGGATTGATCTTGGATCAGATTTCTCCATACTGTTGATGCTCATTTTTACAAATACTGTTTCTGGATCAGCACTCCTACTGCGGTGGTTTGTGAATACAGATTGCTTTGTCTAAAGTGGCTGACTGCAGTTGTGTTCGTTTTTATGGTTTGGAGTACAGTCATACTGTACTCTAAACCACATCAACAAGTCTGTGTGACCTTAATGAAGACCTGAGAGCAGTTTGAATGGGAGAATTTTTGATAATGCATTTTTACAGAAACAATTTGGGCTATTTGGGTGACTGTTGAGTTCTAGTGTTTGTTAGCAAAGTTGGCTTCATGGCTATAGTTCTGAGCTAAAAAGGCAAAAAATTAGACACCAAATCTTGTCTGAGGGTAAGAGGAAATGTTTGTAAATTAGGTTTTTCACCAAACTATTCTCCTAGAGTAACATTGTGAAGAAGCACACAAACCGTGCTACAGTGTGCCCAGCAAATTACATTCCTACACAGCCCTTTCCTTCCTAAGTTAATTTACTAAAGTCTGTCCAATGTATGGATCATACATGCATACACAGCGGCCCAGAAGTGATTTTTAGTATGTCACTTAGACAAAAAAGACTAATTCAAATCACATTTTATGCCTCTTTTTCAGACGACTGAATGCATTTACACACTGTCTATGCTGATCAACGAGACATGGTCAAGACAGAAAATGGACAAACAGACTAGTTTCACATTGGCAAAAGGAGACAAGGCTGCACATTACCATACCTGTTCATCCTGGATGCAGAGCATATGTTGAGAGAAGCAGGACTGGAGGAAGATGATCAAGAATTCAGGATTGGTGGAAAAACATTAATGATCTTCGAAATGCAGATGATTCAACACTCATAGCAGAAAGAAGATCTGAAGGGCCTTATATGAAACATTAAAAAACAGAGTGAAAAATGAGTTTTAGATGACAGGAAAGACCGCTAACCACTGATGGAGAAAATGTGGAAGCGGTGGACAGATTTTACCTACTCAGATCAACAACAGAGGATCGATCACTCAAGAAACACGACATAGACTGGCATTCGGCAGAACAAGAATGAAGGAGCTTGAAAAGATCTTCAAATGCAGCGATTTGTCTCTACAAAGAAAGATCAGATTTGTCTAGACCTGGTCCTCTCTGTGGCTCTTTATGGATGTGAAAGCTGGACAAAAAACAAGCAAGAAAAGAAAAATATTGACGCCTTTCAACTTTGGTGTTGGCGAAGACTTTTGAGAGAACCTTGAATGGCAAACATAACCAAACAAATGGAGCAAATCAAGCCTCACCTCCCACTCAAATCCCAGATCCCCAAACTGAAGCTCTTATTAATGGACATATTGTG